TTTTTTTTTTTTTTTTTTTTTTCTGAGAAATAAGCCAAACAGCTTGTTATTCTGCAGTAGTAAATCTACACACAGCACCTCTTTTTCAAAAAAGAACTGTTTCAGATCGCATATTTTTTTTTTAAATTATGTTCTGGTCTAGGTAAATGCATCAAACAGGTGATGGATACTGATAGGGTTATGCAGCTTAGAATCGAATGGCCTGAATTGATGCGGGGGGCATCCTCGTAATATCACTGACTTGGAATTCTCCCACCGATTGTCCAGAAACTATTGGTATTTTTGATTTCCGATTTTTATTCCTACATGTAACAGCTATTTTTTAAATCACCCGAAAATAGTTTATTATGTTGCAGAAAGCAACAACGTTGCCGCCTATATTTTTGTTCGTTGTGGACACATGTTTGACAGCAGAAGAACTAAATGCGCTGAAGGAATCCCTTCAGACAGCTCTTTCGCTGCTGCCAGCCGATGTACTTGTTGGACTGATCACATTCGGACGAATGGTCGAATTGCATGAGCTCAACGTACGTGGAGTCTCACGTGCGTATGTTTTCAGAGTAAGTGTTGATTTTTTTTTCTTTTTTTTGAGGTAGCAAGGGTCGTTAAAAATAAATTTGACCAGAACGTGTTGCTTACTTCGCTGACAAGCCCCGGAGCTCATATTTTATGGAGCAGTTCGATTGGAAATGACTTGTTGGTTGTTTTTAGAAAAGATCATGCTGGAAAGTGGCGAGGTTTGAGAGATCGTAAGTGGGAACGGGTGATCCGGTGCGGCACCTTTTTTATAGTTACTATGATCGCAGTTGCCCATCTGTAACTGATAGTCCTGGCACTCGAGCCCCAGTACCTTCAGCTGGCAATTTTGCATTCTTTTTTTCTTTTTTTTTTAATAGGTAGATGATTTTTGTTTGTGGTAAAAGACATGACAGACACTCGTATCCTATCAGGCATTGCTTCGTTATTGAGGGCTTCCTGTCCCTATTACTGTGCTCCGAGGACGGAGTAGCAAAGGATCGCACAAATACTGAAGTTCGATCGTCCAAAACAAGCTGCGCTACATCAGTGGAAATTCCGGTAGCGTCAAATTAAACAAATTTAATTGCAAATACTTACAGGGTACCAAGGAAGTGAAGCAAAAGCAAATTCGTGATGTACTGGCGAGGGACATTGGCCGACCTGTGAACGCTGGCCCAGCGCCGGGCGCTTATCCGCCAGGAGCACCTGGCGCAATGGCTCAACAGCTACCACGATTCCCCATGGCACCAGGCGGACCAGCGGCCGCCGTACCGGGAGCACCTTCCATGCAAGGAGCGCATGGAACCCCCAATCTTCCGTTTAATAAATTTCTTCAAGTATGTCTACTCCTTCATTCTGCTCTGACCTAGTCTCTGTGAATTCGTTAAGACGGCTGGCCATGTGCACCTTCTCTGCGCATCTGCTGTTCGGCGCTGCTGCATCCTATTGAGGTACTATTAGAAAAAAAAAACAGCTTTAGAAGTCCGTGTTTGGAAAAATCGAGAGGAACGGAAGGAGTAGAAAATTTTCGAAATAAACGCTTAAGAG